GCAAAGGGTGGTGCGCTCATGGCGGGGCTGGTGGGTTTCAGGTACAGACTGGGCTGCTCCCTGCTCCCCTGGATGCTGCAGAGGGCAGGCAGGAGGGCAGTGCTAGGGCTCAGGAGCAGATTCAAGTTCACACAAGCTGGCCACGGACTGGCCATGTCGCCCAGCACTTCCTCTGTCTCCCCGGGGCTTGCTTTCTGCTCCTGGATCCAGAGCTGCTTCCAGCTCCTTCGTCAGCTGTGCTCCGTGCTCTTCCGATGCTGATGCCCCAGCACCGCACCCAGCAGAGGATGTGGGGGGTCCCTGCTGCTGGAGCCACCTGCAGTGGACAGGCAGCCTCTCAGAGTCCTGGCTTCCACTGTGCACCTGCCTGGAGAGCCCTGCCCACTGGCTGCACCCTCAGTGGGCTAACGCCAGCTCTCCTCAAGTCTTGGGTCAGAGCTGGCTCCACAAACCTCTGTGGAGGACAAGAGCACTTCTCTCCTGTGTCCTTCCTGTCCTGAGCACCTGCCTGCACAACAGCTCTGACCCATGGCAGTGTCTTTAATCTGTCCCCTTCCTGTCTGGCTTGTAGTGGTAACCTCTGTCCCTGTCCTTCAAGGTCATGGCTCACAGCACGTGCCCAATAGGGGGCAATGACGAGCCACATTCCTTTGCAGGCTGAGTAGGCTTCTCTGTGAGGGGCTCTGCAGGGGAGGGGCCAGCTTGAACTCCAGCCCTTCTGCACGCCAGTGATGTAGCAGGTGCCCAATAACCCCTGTGTAATGAAAAACCCCAGCCACTTGTAGGGGAGTTTGCAAACTGTCAAGTGCTCTGACTCAGAAGGAAGTTGGTGGCTCCCAGCAGGCAGGAAAGCAGGAGGAGCCTCCACAAGCGCCAGCAGGCTTCACAGAAGACAAAGCAGCCTCAGGTTTCTGGGAGTCCTGCAGAGCAAGGCGGTCTCCACTCTGAGCTGAGGGAGGCACAAGGACCAGAGAAGGCATCGTGGAGAAGGGGCAGCTACACCTGGATGGCTGCCACCTGTAGAGGCACACGGGTGTCCTGTGGCCACCCCACCAGAGGCTGGCAGTTGGGGTAGCCAGGTATGGCACTCAGGAGGGTTTGCTATAGCTGGTGTTGTCTAGACTCAGCACCTGCAGACTTTGGACCCCACCCCTCAGCATCCAGCTGCAGACTTTGGACCCCGCCCCTCAGCAGCCAGCTGCAGACTTTTGGTGCAGCCTTCCTGGGTCCTCTGCCACCAACACCTGTAAGATGGTCAATGGACTGGCCTGTAGGAGCCTCCCCAAGGTGACCTCCTACGTGTGTGTGTGTGTGTGTGTGTGTGTGAGGTGCCAGGACACTTACTACAGTGAGGCTGGGACCCAAACCTTTCCTGGAAAGGAGCAAGCTGGCTGGATGGTAGATGGTGGTCCTGTGGGTTCCCAGGGTAGTTTCCATGGCAGTGAGACAGGGCAGGTGTGGACAGACAGATGGACAGGCCTGTGTTGCAGTACAGTGCAGTGAGGGGGCATGAATTTCTTTCTCCCTTGAGCATTTAGAGTATAAAGATGGATTTTAAACTGTATACCTAAATGACATTGAAATAAGTAAAAAATAAACCTTGCAAAGCTAGTAATTGCTAGGAAACCGCGTATCACCTGGGTGCAGGAGGGAGGTGCGCTTGTGGGGCAGTGGGTTCCCTGAGCAAGAGGTGTGCGGCAGGCATGGCTCTCCTGGCCTCAAAGTCACTGGGTTGCTGCAGAAGTTGCTGGGGGCCATTGTATCCCATTTCTGTCCATGACGTGAGGAGCCATCCACTTCCTTCCAGGTGGAGGCACTGGCCCCAGGGCTCTGTGGGTCTATCTGATGCTCCCTGTCCTATGCAGAACGCCCTGGGCAGAGCGAGTGCCACTGTGGCCTTTGGTGTTCCCATGATGCACAGTCTCAGATGCGCTTTTCTAAGCATTCAGTGTCCAGAAGACCATGGGCCCTCCACATTTGGCATTGGGCCAGAGACATACCCCAGCCATCACAGTTATGCTTCAGTCAAAGAAAGCTCAGAGGGGGGGCTGGCAAGATAGCTCAGCTGTCTAAGGCACCTGCTTAGGCAAGCTTAGGCAAATGCACAGGGACTGTGGTTCAATCCCTGGCACCACGTGCCATGTCAGCTCCACCCCCTGGGTCGGCAGAGCTAGCTGTAAAAAAAAAAAAAAAAAAAAAAAAGCTCAGAGGCTCTGAGGTATAGGGAGCCCCATACCATGTCCACTTGGTCCCTGAGACTGAAGCCCAAGCAGGGGTCAGGCAAGGAGAGCAGGAGCCAGGGGTCCAGTCAGTGAAAGAGAGTGTGAAGCCCAGCATGGACCCCAGGGTTGGTTCCAAGGCACTGAGTTGGTGAGTGTCATCTGGAGCCCTGAGCCTGCTGGTCTTACAGGAGCTGAGCCAGGAGGGGGAGGTGAGCCAGGTACCCTCATACCCCCTGTAGTCCCAGCAGTGGCTGTGACCCCTTTTTAGGTGCACTGGCCCAGGTCTGCTGTACCTATGTACTGTATTCAAGTTGCTTTGAGGTCCTTCTGTTTCTTGCCAACCTAGATCTGTGCCATTCTTTCTCTGTGCAGCCCTCACTTCTCACCCCACCCTGTAATTGGTTGGCAGAGTTGGGCTGGCTTGATGGCACCTCCTTAAGCCTCATGCTATGCAGACTGATCTGTCTGTCCACATGAGTGAGCCCACTTAGTGCCTGGACACTCATTTCCAGAATATTCCAATTGGCATTGCTTGCTCAGCTGTGATTCCTGTATTGGGCTGAAGAGGACTCCCCCAAACTCCCACCCACTGGACCTTGTGAATATGACCATACTCAGGAACAGGCTCTCTTCAGATATAATTACACTAAAATGAGGCTATCCTCGATTAGAGTGAGCTTTAAATTCAATGATAAGGGGCTGGGGAGATAGCTCAGCAGCTTAAGCACCTGCCTAACAAGCACAAGGTCCTGAGTTTAATCCCCAGTACTAGAAAAAAAAATCAAGAAAAAAAGAAAGACAGACAGACAACTAATACACACAGATTTAGGGCCAGCAAGATAGCTCAGTGGACAAAGCACCTGTTTCGGCAAGCACAGGGATCAGGGTTTGATCTCTGGTCCTGCATGCCCCCAGGGCACACTGAGCCAGCAACAGAGTCTGGGCATGGTGGCACATGCCTCTGATCCCAGTGCTGGGGAGGCTGAAAACAGGAGGATCACTACAAGTCCGATCTATGTAGTGAGACCCTGTGCCAAATACACGAATGAAAAAAAAAATTCAATGATAGTGTCCTTGTAAGAAGAGACACAGAGACAGAGAGGAAAGACAGAGAGAAAAAGGCCCCAAAACGACTAGGGCAGAGTTGGAAGCCAAGGGAGGCCAAGACTGCTGGCTCCCGCTGGAGGCTGGCTGTGGAAGGGGAGTCTCCCTAGAATCCCCTGGAGGGAGCTTGGCCATGTCTACACCTAGATTTCAGCCTAGAGATACTGATTTCGAATTCTGGCCTCCAGAGCTGGAAGAGAACAGTTTTGTGTTTTAAGTCATCCAATTTATACTTTGTTATAGTAGTCCCAGGAAATGCACACAAGCCCTCGATCTTGAACCATGGAGCTATCCATCAGTGTCACCTCATCTGTCAGTGGCCACTTCCCACAAGGCCAATGTAATTTCCTGTCACCACTTGGGTATTGGTGGGGGAAGAAGAGGAGTGGAAGGCTGGAGGAGCTGTGCCTGGCTCTGTGGTCTCCAACCCCAGTGGTGATCACTGCATAGTCCTGCCCTGTCTGAGGGTTGCGAGTTGGGAGAAGGAAGGCAGGGGTTCCAGAAGGGCTGACTGCCTAGGCTCCTGGGAAGCAGGATGAAGCCTCCCTCCAAATATCCTACCCTCCCCACACAGGGGCAGATGCTTGCTGGTCCTGGATAAGCCTGCTGGCAGCTGTGATCTCAGAGTGTTCTCTTTAGTCTGCCATGGTTCTAGGCACTTTCAGACCTACCCAAATGGGTTGACTTCATTTTGGTTTGAACTGGCCAGGCCCAAGTGTTTCCAAGCCCCTAGCTACTCAGGGTTCTCCTTAGGGCATCAGATAAGCCTCCTCACTTTGTGCTGGCTGGTGTTCCACAAGTTTAGTTAGGGATCCAGGGCACACAGTTGGGAGCATTGCCTCGAGCCTCCCGTGACCCGCTAGATCTCAGCCCTGCACACTTTGCTTAGTGCATCCGCCTGCACCTGCTCTGGAGAGGACAGTGCCACGTTTGCCAGCCTGACATCCCTGATGCCCTACACTCAGTCAGCACCCAGGTCTGTCTTTCAGCAGGATGAAGACGGGAATCAGATCGGAGTCTCATGCAGACGTTATCCCATGCCAGAAAGAAAGAAAGAAAGAAAGAAAGAAAGAAAGAAAGAAGTGCACGTGGAAGCGGGAGCAGGGAGTGGTTCTGGAGAGGCCAGGTGAACAGAGCAGGAGCTGGATTAACACCTCTTCAAAGGGCTGTCCAGGCTGGGGACCATGTGGGGTTTTGGAGAGAACCAGAGCCAGAAAGGTGTCTAACCTTCAACAAAGACCAAAGACCTCTTGCGCAGCCTGAGCTAGTGGATAGCTCAATTGTCCTGGCTCTTCGACGAAGAAATTAGGGCTCAGAATCTAACATGCACCTTGGCTACCAGCTGGCAAGCCCTTGGAGGTCCCAGAGGGCATTCACAGAGCAGCCCGGAGAAGCCAGCCTGCCTCTCTGCAGCAGCTTCCGAAGCCGCCGCCCAGGGAAAGGTGGAGAACTGGCCGCTGTCGTCCACTTCCTGCTTAGTGAGCACCGCGGCGGGCCGCTACGAGACTTCCCGGCTGGCCCCGCCCCGCCCCCGACTGGCCCCTCCCCTCCCGGCTGGCCCCTCCCCTCCCGGCTGGCCCCGCCCCCGCGCGAGCCTGAGCCCGGAGCGCGGGGCGGTGCGCAGGCGTGGCAGCGGCGGGCCGACGGCGATCCCAGCCTGCCCCGCGCGCTGACGTCGCGCAGCCTCGTCCCGGCCGCCGCCGCCATTGGAGTCGGCGCCCCCGCCTCCCAGCTCGTTCCGACCCGGCCTGCTACCGGCCCGGCGCTCCCCGCCCGCGCGCCCGCCCACGCCTGTGGACTAGGTGGCGGGGCCTGGGGCAACGCGCGCGGGGTGACAGGCCCGGCCTCGCGGGAAGCCCGAGCCGGCGGGCGCTCCGGCCCCGCGCGGTGCTGTTCATGAAGCATGTCGGCCACCAGCGTGGACCCTCAGGTACGGGCCCGGGGCGGGGACCTGGAAGCTGGGCCTGGGTCTTGGGGTGAGGATCGCGAGCCTGGAGGCCGGGCCAGGGTCTTGAGTCTGGAGTCGCAGGGCCTGGGCCGGGTTGCCTGGAGGCCACACCAGGGTCCGTGGTCCCGGGCCCCGGGCCTGGGGACCTGGAGGCCATTCTGAGGTCTGCAGTGGGGAGCCCTTGCAGGGACATGGAGGCCGGGCAGGGGCTGTCGGGCTGGGGCCATCGGGGCCGTCATGAGGTCACGAGGGCCAAGTTAGGGCTCGTGGGGCAGGGAAGAGAGAGACCGGGCTGGTGTGGCGCCACCCGCCAAAGAGCGTTGTCCGGAGAGTAACTTTGTCTTTCCTTTCCCGGGCTGGGTTGTGTCCGCTCGCATGTCCCGGCCTGTGGCGATGCAGAGAACAAAAGGACAAGATAATAAAGGTGAGCAGAGTTCCGGGATGGCCGTGCGGGCAAGAGAAGGTCCACAGGTCGCATGTGGAACCTGAAACTTAGCAGCTTTGGAGAGATGAAATTTTACATTTCTGGGAGGTTTGACAGGTCGAACATCAGGGCATTTAAAGAAGAAAATAAATGGGTGCTCAGAGTAGTTCAATTCTTCCTTGCTCTCTGCCTTGCAAGATTATTGATTAGATGGGGCAGGAGGGAGGAGATAGTTTGCCCAGGGGACGGACGGGTCTGGACGGCAGAAGCTAGGGCCTGAGTAACATCCACTCTGGCTCTCAGGAGGATCTGGCTGTGTGGGAGAGGCAGGCAACATCCCTACCTCTTGTTTCTCAGCCTGTGATTTCTGCTGTGACATTTTTGCCTTGGGATAACCCATTAAAGTTTTGACTGTTTTGAGAACCTTTAAGTGACACTTCATGTTTACTTGTTTTTAAATGGTGTGTTGCTACTTGGGTGTAACCAAATATGCTTCATCGTGTTTTAAGATTGGAAAAGGCCCAACACTTTATTTACCTTTCCTTTCCTTTCTGACTGAGCATTGTAACAGTGGAAAGTAAGTGGAGAGCCAGATAATAGTGAGCTTCGATTACAGCCTCTTCCCAGCTGAACGTCTTGTCTTCGGATCTGCACACTTGCTGAATTTTTGGAGGCTTCCTGCTGTTTGCACCAGTTAGATCTTAGACTCTGCCAGTTTCATGGGCAGGGGTGTGACTGGTAGAGTGCTTATCGTGCAGTAAGAGGCCCTGGATTGCATCTTCGGTACTGCCTAAAACAACAACAAAAAAAACCTTGTCAACTTCCCCAAACCTGATGAAATTTATTGCTCTATTTTGTCAATATCCCACCAAATTATTAGTGTAATCTAAATTAAAGTTCTGCATCATCATTCTAATAAAGCACGCTTATCAGCTCTGTACTTATTATGTTCATTTTAAAATGAAATAAAAACTCCTGTAGAAGTTGATGAAAGCAGACTAGTTTTCATGCTTAGAAATAATCTTTTAAAACCAAGATAATATTTTCCTACTTCCTTTTCTAGTACAAAATGGTTCTTTGCATCAGAAGGATACAGTTCATGACAGTGACTTTGAGCCCTACCTTTCTGGACAGTCCAATCCGGTAAGTTTATTTTGCTAGCATGTATTTAATTTCAGATTAATTTTAGTTGTTTATAATACATGTTTAATGTATTTCTGATTTACTCATCTTAAATAAAAAGAAGCATGCTAGGAAAGTAATCTGAGTGATAGAATATTTTAAAAAGGCTTGCTTTGGCGATTTCTTCTTGTTTGACTTGCAACATGCGTTTGATGCAAGTGATTTCTTTCCTCTGGAAGAAGTAGCACCTCTTTAGGGCTGGGATATAGGCGGCACCTACAGGCTAGTGGGCCCCAGCGTTTGTGGGCTGGGGATGGAGTGCCTTTATGGAGTCCAGCTTGCGTAGTTCCTTGAAGCTTTCTGGCACACTGTTTTTGGCTCTGGAGGCTTGGAATTGTGCTTCTGGGAGAACAGTCAAACTGGGTGATAGAGCTAGACTCCACTTTGGGTAGGCTTTTTTTTATCTTTTATTTATTTGTTTGGTACAGGGTCTCGCTATGCAGGTTGGATTTGTAGTGATCTTCCTGTCTCAGCCTCCCCAGCACTGGGATAATAGGTGTGCACCACCATGCCCAGTTTTTGTAGCCAGCACAGCACACCAGGGATGGCATGTGGTACTGGGGATTGAACCTAGGTCCTTGTGCTTGCAAGGCAGGCTCTTAAAACCACTGGGTTATCTTCCCAGCCTACACTCCACTTTAGATTGGAAACTTAACTCCACTTGTGTCAGGTGGCTTTCATTCGCTGCCCTTAGTTTCCTTTCTGTGATACAGAGATGGTGGTAACTGCACAGAATTGTTGGACGAATGATGTTGGAGGGCATTTGCTGAGTGACAAGAAAGTCCCTGATACAAGCCCCAGCAAGTCATAGCTGCCTGGTTTGTTTGTTTGTTTCTTTTTGTTTTGTTTTGTTTTGTTTTGTTTTGAGACCATCTCACTATGTACTGCAGGCTGACCTTGAACTCAGTGTAATTCTCTTGCCTCAGTCTCTTGTGAGCTGGGATTACAGATGTGTACTGCCGTGCCTGGCCTGCCTTGCTTTCTTAGATAGTTCAAGATTTCTCAGCCTGGGCACTGTGGACATTTTGGACAAGAACATTGTCTTGGTGACTTCTGTGCATTGTAGGATTTTTTTGCCTCCTTCTTGGCTTCCAACCGCTGAATTCCATTAATACCCTTCTCAGCCTCAGGGCTGCCCTGACCTCCTTCCCTAGTTACTTCTACCTCTGTTGTGTCAGTTGTGGTTGTCTCCTGTGTCCTGGTTAAGACCACTGAGCTATTTGGAATTCAGATTTAACTACATCTGCCACTTTAAAAATATTGTGTATCTTTACTTTAGAATAGGACTAGGCTTTACCTGTTCTTTGAGGCAGAATAAAACTAGTCTGCCTACTAGTTTTCTCACTTTTATGCCCTTTTCTGAAGCGTTTTAGAACTTTTCTCCATCTTTCTCTGTGCTGTTGTATGTTTTAAGCTAGCTGCTTAGGAGCCCCAGAAAGTGCAGGGAGGGAACCCTGACCACCTGAGCCTCTCGGCCTCTTGGCTGATTCTGAGACTCTTGGCCTCTTCTAGGTAGGACAGGTCACGGCAGCATTGATTTGACACCAACCATGATACTTTGGCCAAAAGAAATAGGAAGAAATTAGACTTATTTTTGAGACTATCTTATTTTCTATTTTCCATGTACAATATTATAGTAGTGTTATATACTAAATTTTAACCCAAACTAGGGGAGGGAGAGTGCATCATTACATTTGAAATACATTTTATAAAGCAGGCACTCTTGTGTGGTTTGGGATGAAGTCTTTATTTTGTATGTATGTTTGTATGTATTTATGTATTTTGAGGTGGTCTCACTAAGCAGTGTAGGCTGACCTTGAATTTGCTTATATAGCTCAAGCTGGCCTTAAACTCATGGCAGTCCTCCTGCCTCAGCCTCTCCCCAGTGCTGGGATTACCAGTGTGAACCACCATTCTCAGCTGGGGTGATGTCTTACAGTGGAGTAGACTGTTCTCTGCTGTCAGTGGCTACTCAGCGCTGTTTTGCCTTTGGGGAGCCACGGGGGAAAGACTGTGGCATAGGTTGGGCCTAAGAGTAAACAACTCTAAAATGGGTCTTTCCTGCTCTGTGCTTTTGTTAGCAAGGAGGTTATTGGCATATCAAATAAATTTATGCTTTTGATGGGCTGATAACAGGTTTTCCAGAAAGACGCAGCTTTGGCAGGAGGAAGGTAGCGTACAGCACGAGAGAGCTTTGCAGTCCATGCTTTCACTTACTGATGAAGTAACTGAGGACCACCGAAGCCCAAGTGGTAGCTGCTGCTGGTGGACCAGGGTGGGCCAGGGTTTTGTTCTGCCTGCTTGCTTTGAGTTCTTATTGTACTGTTTCAGTCCTGAGTCATTTGGGAATTGTTGCCTCTAGATTTGCACTCTTTTGACCAAGGGTGCCATTTAGAAAAGTTCTCTTATGTCCTGAAAGGAGACTGGTATTGTGTCCAGCCAGCCAGAACAGAGTGTGTTTGGTGTAGCTGGTAACAGTGAGCTTAGAATTCTTTTAGTGTAGTAGTTATTCCATGGCGGGGGGGTGTATGTGTGTGTGTGTGTGGCAGTTTTGTTGAGGTAAGGTGCACCTGTTGAGAGCACACAGTTGTATGACTTTTGACCTACACAGCGTCCTGCTGCCGAGCCACAGTAGCAGTGAAGGTCACAGGCCTGCGCACAGCCCTTGTTTTGGTTCTAGTGTGATTTGTGGTGGTAGGCTGGAGGTCATTGTGTGCTTCTTTGTTTTGGAAACTGTGATCCTTACAACATGGTTTGGAAGGTATCTAAGAGCATGCAGTTAGGTTAGGTTGATAGAGTTCCAGAAAGGCCTCTTCTTGCCCTGGGGCTACCCCTGCACTGCAGCTTCTAGCCTGCCTTCTGGTGGCTGTGTGTGTGATTGATGAGGGGACCAGAGGAACTGTGAGGGAAGGTGCTGGGTAGGCCTCGCTTGTCCTGATTTTCTTGTTTGAAGTTTTTCCTGCTCAGCTTCCCTAGTTTCCTGGTTCAGAAAGGATTGTGAGATGACCCAGAGTGGGCCTTACTCATAGTGTAAAAAGCTCCCTCAGTAGGACTTCCAGAGTTGGTGAGTGGACTAAGCGGTCGGGACTGGCCAGCTCTGGTGGACCAGGGCACCGGGACACAGAGGCGGGCAGCATCTCTGTTTGAATTTAAAGTGTTCCGTTGTTAGCACACTCACTTGCCTGGGTCACATCTGGCAGGAGCAGAAAGTAAGGAGACACGTGTTTTTGTTTCTTCTCTTTAATTGAGTGGTGTTCTAGGTGTGATATGGAACACTGATTTTAAGATTTGAGAGAAACAGTGCTTGCTTACTTCTGCTTCCGGGTGATTTTGGTTGGCTTAGGATGACTTGTGGGGCCAGCAGATGCACATGTGGTCATCGGACCTGTGTTTGGCATGGATTTCTTATGGTAGCATCTAAAGAATGTGAGGTTCCTTAAAAGATTCCTGTACAGTGCCCCCTAGATAAGGATTTAGCATCAGTTCCAGAAACACAGCTGGAGGGACACAGCAAGTTGTCACATACTTATTGGCAAGTTGCTGAGTAGATGCAAAAAACCTGTTAGCATTCTGCCCAGCCCACTGAGGGGCTAGAATCCACCCTGGAAGGGTCTTGGGCAGAGATTAAGTGATAGTTGCATAAGCACTTGGGATTTGGGTTTCTCTGTAACATTTCTCCTGTCCCCAAGGCTTTGGAAGCTGTGTGGTTACCCTAGCAGGCTTGCCCTGCGCTGTTCAGAGCAGTTTTCCAGAAACCTGTGTCATTTACTCTTTAGAACTGCCCTAAAGATCTTTCCTTTAACATAGTTAATTTGATTTGATTTGAGAACATGCTTCTGAGCACACCCTGAAGGTGTTCTGCTTGTCTTGGGTTTGGGGACCTTTCTGCTTATCCCCTTAGTCTCTTGGTCACTGATGATATGTCACTATTATTTGTGAAACTTAAAAGTTTAAGTAATTCTTCAGACGAATAGAGGAAATGTACAATTCACTGACAAAGGATCTGGCTGAAGTCATTCAGAATGGGCATTTCTTCTTTGTCTATCAAGGTGACAAGTAAGAGAAAATATGCTCATAATTGCAGAGTAGGTTTGTGGCTCTACTGTGTTTTAGTTTGGTGTTTAAAATTGGAGGGATAAGAGCTTGATTTTTATTTAAGATTTCTTTGTTTGGAATAGCTATCTTGTTTCTCATTTTTTTCAGTTCACTGGGGTATAGACACTTACATTTACCTCTTATGGACTCTGATTTTGCTTGGAAGGTGTTACCCTCCTTTACACCCTGATGTAAAGCTTGGATACGGCAGTGCCCAGCAGTCTCCTGTGGGGGACAGTGGGGCCCAAGTTGGTGTGCCCATAGGGTCCGTGCGTGAAGAACAAGTCTTGAGTCTGTCTTACCACTTGAGCTTGTCATCTAGGCTCCTGACCAGTAGACCTTCATGTGTGGCACTTGTGCCTGGCTCTGCTGCACAGGCACAGGACGGCCGAGGGCTGGGCCAGGCTCTATGCTTTACGGGCAGCCTGGTGCATTTCCAGGCCAGGTTTGAAGTAAGTTGTCACTTTAGGCCAGAAGAGTTGCCCCATTCTGCAGACCATGACTGGGAACCACTTCTTTTCGCAGGGGAGGTGTGCTCTGTGGGAACATGTGCAGGTTTTCTTCTGTAGAGAAAAGCCTGTTTCATACAGCTTTTCAGAACAACCTGCTGCTTTATTTCCAGGGATAGAAGGAAGAATGGCATAGATAACAGAAAATGTGCTGTGAATAAGATTTGCAGTTGTTCCTGGGGTGATGGTGCACACCTGTAATCCCAGCACTCTGGGAGGCTGAGGCAGGAGGAGAGCAAATTTGGGCCCAGCCTGGGTAGCAACTTAGTGAAATCCTGTCTCAAATAAAAACGGACTAGCAATATAGCTTAGTGCAGAGGCCTAGCATTCAGTTGCCAGTACCATGCATATGCACGCACTAAAATAAAGGAAGGGAAAAGAAGTTGGGCCCATAGCACCCTTGGTCACTGTGCCTGTGTGACCATGTGGCCTGCCGAGGATGGAGCACGTCTGTAGATGTGAGGCTCCTGGCAGAGCTGGTGGAGAAATGGAGGTGGGCATCCTGGGAGGCCTGCAGGACTTTGCGGGGACCTCTTAGTACTCTGCTACATTTTTTACCTGAGAACTTCAAATTTGGAATCTTTCTTTTTCTCTGTTCTTATGTGAATTTAAGTGTTTAGGAAAGAGCCATGATCTGTGTGCAGTGTTCAGGATCTCAGACCTTCCCATCTGTTGACTCGAAAGAGGGCAAGGTCCTCCCACGTTGGCTGTTTCCCCGGCTGCCTGACCACTTCTCTTCCCACTGCTCCTCACCGCAACGGTTCTGTCGTGTGTGCAGTTGTGTACACACATCTTCATTGACCTGTGCTGCTTCTGTCCTACGGTGTGATGGGTTTTGCAAGGGAAAACAAACGAGGACCTTTGTGTTAGTGTCCTGAGGGAGCAGAGATTCCAGAATTTGTTTAGGGTTCAGGAGAGGTCAGACAGTGCTAGCTGTGGAGCAGCTGAGAGCCACCTGCTGCTTGGCCTGCAGAGCCGGCAGCATGGTGGGCTGCTCATGTGGCTCTGTGATGTGTGTGCCCTTTGTATGACAGTAATAATACCACAGGAGGAATTTTAGAAATTTCATGAGTGTAACATGATACACATCTCGCGGTGTCCTAAATTGTGTCCCATTGCAGGTAAGGCCCAAGTAGAAGTCATAAGCACCGGGGTGTCTCTGTGGCCTCACTGCTGCCGCTCTGTTGTTTGTGGCCAGCTAGGTTGGGATGCCGTGCTGCCATTAGGTCTTTCTTTTCCCACCTGCCTTTCCTGTGTTAAGGTGATCCTAGCTGCTGAGGAGGCCTGGACACATCTGAACACACTTGCCTGCCTGTCTCTCAGCATTCTCCCCTCAGTTCTCCCTGTGATTCAGTCTCTGTCCTGTTAGCCCCTGCTCCACAAAGCTGCTTTAGGATCCCCTGGGTCGAGGCACATGAAGGGCAAGTTGCAGTTAAGGAGCCAGAATCATTGAACTCCTTCCAAGGAGGATAAGCACATTTGTCTCACGCTAATGGAACATTAATAATGTTACATGTATAGACTCAAAGGTTTTTGTTATAGAGAAACAACTGTTACTTCAGTGTAAAACATGGTTCTGGAATGGTCTGGGCTCTTCCAGCCCTCCAGCACTGCTACATGGGTATGCTGCTCTATAGGAAAGTGTCTTCCTTCACCTCAGACACCAGTTAGGTGGCACACAGTTCTGACAGGACCTTGGGGCATGTCCAGGGCATTGTGCTCCCAGAGCTGCTGGCCCTCAGTCTGTATTTGTGCCCTGGGCCACACTTCACAGACCCCCTGAGACCGGTGCTAGAAGCGTTGCCGCCTCTCCCATCCTATACCATCGCTTATGTGACCACTTTAAGCTCCCCTCTGTTGCTCTTGCTGCTGCACAGACAGGGAAGCGTCAGTAGAGAAGCTCAGTGAGGCTGGTGCCAAAGTGAGGTCTTCTCTGTACCCAGAGCAGAGTGCTTGTGCTCTGGAGGCTTGCTGCCCGGAGCTGGAGCAGCTGGGGCCTCTGCTCCCAGGCCCCACTCTGAGAGCTCGTGGCTATGCCCAGGAAAGCATGGGAATGAAGGGACAGGGCCTTGTGCTCGGGTGGTGGCAGCTGTCAGGAGAGGTATGTAGAAGGGGCCTGTGAAAGGGTACATGGAGGGTAGTGAGCTGAGCAGTCCTGAGCTCTAGGCATGGGAGGGTGGGTGCCAGGGCCCAGCACGGTGTGTCAGCTCATCAGTGAGGGGAGCTCCATGGCCCCAACACCATGGTTTGCCATCTGATAGCTCAGTGCCTTCTTAAGGCTCTTCTGGTTTTGGTATGCTTTTAGTGGTTAGCATTACTGCTGCAGGACTGGGATTAGTTTCCTACACTGAGTTTCTCTACCTGGATATTCTTGTATGTAAAAGAATAAGGATACTGCGCAGCTAGCTCTGGAGTGACTCAACTCAGTTGTTTAGCTTGAGTAAACTTGATCATTGCAGCTAAGGCTTTGGACTTGAGGTGACAACTTGGGTTGTATCCATTGTTCATTTCTCGGTGTCTTGACCTTGTTCCCACCTTTTGACTTTGTTTCCTTTAATGAGGAGTAGTTCCCCACCATCAGCCATGTGTGAAAGGCACTCAGCCTGCTTGTGTCTTCCCACATGTGACAGCACTCTAACTAGTCACCTGTGTGTTTTTACAGAGTAACAGCTACCCCTCGATGAGTGATCCCTACCTGTCCAGCTACTATCCGCCATCCATCGGATTTCCCTACTCCCTCAATGAGGCACCATGGTCCACTGCAGGAGACCCTCCAATTCCGTATCTTACTACCTATGGACAGCTCAGTAATGGAGACCACCATTTCATGCATGATGCAGTTTTTGGGCAGCCTGGGGGCCTGGGCAACAACATCTATCAGCACAGGTTTAATTTTTTCCCCGAAAATCCTGCATTTTCAGCATGGGGGACAAGTGGTTCTCAAGGGCAGCAGACTCAGAGCTCAGCGTATGGAAGCAGTTACACCTACCCACCTAGCTCCCTGGGTGGCTCGGTTGTTGATGGGCAAACAGGCTTTCACAGTGACACGCTTAGCAAGGCTCCTGGGATGAACAGCTTGGAACAGGGCATGGTAGGCCTAAAGATTGGGGATGTCACCACCTCTGCTGTCAAGACAGTAGGTTCAATTGTCAACAGTGTGGCATTGACAGGTGTCCTTTCTGGCAGTGGGGGGACAAACGTAAGCATGCCAGTTTCAAAACCAACCTCTTGGGCTGCCATTGCCAGCAAGCCTGCAAAACCACAGCCTAAAATGAAAACAAAGAGTGGGCCTATGGTGGGGGGTGCACTGCCTCCTCCACCCATAAAGCATAACATGGACATCGGTACCTGGGACAACAAGGGACCTGGACCGAAGGTGCCAGCCCCTCAGCAGACATCGCCTCCCCAGGCTGCCCCACAGCCCCAGCAAGTGCTGGCTCAACCTCCCCCAGCTCAGCCTCCACCTTTGGCCCAACCACAGTATCAGAGCCCTCAGCAGCCACCCCAAACTCGCTGGGTTGCCCCTCGGAATAGAAATGCAGCCTTTGGCCAGAGTGGAGGGGCCAGCAGCGATTGCAACTCTTCTGCAAACACCCAATCTAATTCTGCCCCAAGTGCAGAATCCCACCCTATCCTTGAGAAACTGAAGGCTTCCCACAGCTACAACCCTAAAGAGTTTGACTGGAATCTTAAAAGTGGACGAGTGTTCATCATAAAGAGCTACTCTGAGGACGACATCCACCGCTCCATCAAGTACTCCATTTGGTGTAGCACAGAGCACGGCAATAAGCGCCTGGACAGCGCCTTTCGTGCCCTGAGCAGCAAGGGGCCCGTCTACCTGCTCTTCAGTGTCAATGGGAGTGGGCATTTCTGTGGCGTGGCTGAGATGAAGTCCCCCGTGGACTACGGCACTAGTGCTGGGGTCTGGTCTCAGGACAAGTGGAAGGGAAAGTTTGATGTGAAGTGGATTTTTGTCAAAGACGTGCCCAATAACCAGCTCCGGCACATCAGACTGGAGAACAACGACAACAAGCCAGTCACAAACTCCCGAGACACACAGGAGGTGCCCCTAGAAAAAGCAAAGCAAGTGTTGAGGATTATTGCTTCCTACAAGCACACAACCTCCATCTTTGATGACTTTTCTCACTACGAGAAGCGCCAGGAGGAGGAGGAGGTGGTCCGCAAGGTGAGTTGTCTCCTGGGCCACACCTGCGGGGGTGTGCTGCGTCTGTGCTCATGGCAGGCAGCCTGAGCCAGGCGAAAGGTTGGGGGAGGCAGGGAACCCTGACCCCCAGGAGTCCGGTGACCGAATTCCTGGCTGGCCTTGGGCACGAGCTTTCTGCATGAGGGTCCCAGGAAGATCTGCGATACTTGGATGTCACCGGACAGCTTCTGACCACTCTTAGCTTGTAAGGTGTGTGGTGATGGGGGTACTGTGCGCACAGGTATGAAGCCCTTGAAGGCGCTTACGCCCTTCTTCTCTGAATCATGGACTCTCCGTACCAGGAGGCCAGTGCCTGTCAGGAGCACGCAGAATGGAATGTTCATGTTATACTGGGGAATGGGTGTGGCTGGTAAGCTGAGGCAGTGATGTTCTTGGGGGCCTCCCTTAGCGGTTGGAAACTGGTCTGGTCTAAAGATTTTCTTATTTTTGCTTTTAAAAGTCCGATATCCTTCAGTTTTGGAAACTTAAACTTACTCTAAGTAGTAAAGAGAATAGTGGGGAAAGGGCAGATATGACATCCAGACAGACATTTTACAATAAATAGGAAGCTGGTTGTGGTAGTACATGGCTATAATCCCAGCGCTCACCTCAGGAGGCTGAGGCAGGACCATTGCCTGGAGTTTAAGGCCAGCATGGGCCTTAGTGAGACTCCCAGAACAAAATAAAGCAAGGATACATTTTAAGCCAGGTGTGGTGGTACATAGTGATATAATCCCAGCACTTTGGGAAGCTGAGGCAGAAAGATTGCACTTTTAAGTCCAGCTTGGGCAATGTAGGAAGACTGTGCCTGAGAATAAAAACTTAAAATGGGCCGGGGATATAACTGAGTATGAAAGTGCTGGGTTCCATATCCCATCCCTAAAAAAGAAAAGAAGTTATATTTTGATCCATTTGGCTAGGTTTCTGAGGTAGTCCTAATTACCGGTTACAAGTGACACCCACACTTGTGTGCTCCCAGTGTTACAGCACCTTACAGGGTCAGTGCATGTGGTCTTGAAGCAGGACCCATGTGCCCATGCGCTGGCCCCACAAATGGAACAGTAAGGACCAGCGTGCTTCGTAAGAAGCACGCCCTGATGTACCCGCCTCCTTTCCTGCATGAAGTGTCAGTTGGTGGAGGTGGTTTCTAGTCTTCCTTGTCCTGTGTGTAAGACGGAATCCCCCCGTGGGCATGCCGGTCTTGAAGCATTCGGACCAGATGGCCTGTGGCCGGGCTGCTAACACGAAGTTAGGCTTGTTGTAAGTAGCTCAGAGTTGCAAAGTTGAAAGAATACCCTTTATTTGAGGTGACTGAAATTCTGTGTGCTAGCTCCTGGGTGTGCCATAAAGGGCAGTTGTGCAGCACCTAACGGTGCGACCTGCCGAGGAGTGCAGCGGGGCGGCTTTGTTCTGCTCCACCCCTTCCTCCATGAGACGGCTGCAGCGCCGCCAGTTGGTCGTGCGGCCGCTGCCCTGAGGAAGAGCTTCTAGTGCAGTGCGTGGCTGTGCCAAGCTGGCAGGTTAGAGCAGGGAGACTTGTGAATTAAACTTGGGTTGGGCTTTAAATGAGCGACTAGCTGTGTGTGCTTTAGTTCTGTTTTTTTTTTTTTTTTTTTTAAATACTAAGTACAAGGTGTGATTGAATAATACAGTGAATATTTAGATTAAAAATTTGTTGCAGTAAAAGACACATTGTCACTAGGCCTGCTCACAGCACCTTTGGCCGAAAGCACACTTTTCCAGTGGATCCTGTCTTGGGGAGGAGCAGTAGGAATCGGACTCAGGATCTTGTACTTGCCAGGCAGGCAGTTGTGCCGCTGAGCTATAGCCCTGACCAGCACACACTTACCCTTCTTGTCACTTTCCGGAGCAGTTCTACAAGTCCATTTTGTGGCTGTCTGTAGTTGTGCTGTCGTGGCCACCTTGATATCCTGAATTGATTCAAAATGTTTACTTTCGTGGTCATTTTGACTTTGAGGAAGAGTCAGAAGTGGCGCACAGTGCCATATCCGGGGAGCACAGCTGATGAGGACACGCTGGTGGTTTACAGGCCTGCTCTTCCATTGGACAGCACTCAGCAGCCTTCAGCACGTCTTTGGTCACACTCACAAGCATGCAAAAGCGGCATGTAGGACTGCTTCAGAAGTGCCGTGAGGGTTAGTGTGTTCAGAGTTGGGGAGGGACGTCAGGACAGTTGGGTTTTGCTGACATAGCTGCAGATAGGGCTGTGTCCACCCGTATCTACTCACATGCATCCACCTGCATCACCTGTGTCTGCCTCCATGAGGTATATCCACCCATACACACCTACATCTGTTTTTTTTTTTTTTTTTTTTTCGGAACCGGGGATTGAACTCAGGCCCTTGCGCTTGCCAGGGAAGCGCTTATTCCACTGAGCCACCTCCCCGGCTCGTCCCTACATCTGTTTTTAATTGTAATGTTCTCTGTATATTTGATGACTTCTGTACGTGGACTTTCCTGTAGTGCAGTGGGTCCCAAAGGTTGGTGTTGAGCTTGGGGATAAAAGTCTGCCTCAGATCTGTTGTAAAAATTGTAGTGTCCTGAAACTTTCACTGTAGCAACTTGATTCTTAGACGCTGAGTTTCTAAGGGGTCTCCGGGTAAGCCTATGCTGAGCCACCTGTAGGCTCCCAGGTGTCCTCCTTTGGTCAGCATCTGGGACGCTTGTGCATTCTGCAGGCAAGTCTGCCCGAGCTGCCTGCCGGATTGGTGGAGGAAGGAGCATGTTGACCCTCTCTCCCCCAAGCCACGTCAGCTGGGCTGCTTTGATCCACGTGTTTATTAATTCATGTTGTTGAAAGTGACAAAGAAGAGCCCTTTTGCTTCAGTGGTTCAGTTCATTGGACTGCATAAGAAGCGGGTGGTTCTGGGGCAGCTCCCAAATTGACACCATGGCCGGGCTGCACTGGGCTCTGCGCCTGCGTCCTGCCAGGACATGCTCTGGTCTTCATTTTGCTGGCTGTGTTATCATTTGCTCAGGATTAGAGCCCCAAGTGTGTCAGAGTTGAGGCTCCAGGTTTCCCGGAAAGGTGCAGCATGGCCCTGACAGTATACGTCCCGCACACTTGGGAGGCACTGTTGCCTCTGGGCTGTGGTACTGGCAGTCAGTGGGGAAGCTCTCAGTCCCTGAGAATGGACCCCTTCTGTTCATCCCTGTTGATTCTACCTGGTAGCTCTCAGATGACAGGTACTTAGTATTTACAGAGTAAAAAAGAGCTAACATTTTTTCAGCTTCCCTTTCAGAGTTTCCAGCAATAAATGTGAAAACATTCTTCTTAGGAAAGCAGTAACTTCTATGGCAGCTGTATCAGACCAAGTCCTAGCATGACACATTATTCTGTTTTTAAGCCTATAAATGTCCCTCAGAGAGCTTAAAAGGTACATGTAGGGTGATCCTTCCACACAGTATGAGCCCCACTCCCAGGCTAGTCCTGCCCAGTGGCTTTTGGCTTTGGAAACTGATAGAGAACTTAAGGATTTTTGCATGCTTGTTGAATGCTCCTTACAGTTGGGGTGTGTGTGTGTGTGTGTGTGTGTGTGTGTGTGTGTGTGTGTTTAGCACAGGGTCTACAGGGTCACAGGGTCTCAGGGTCTCATTATACAATACAGATCAGACTCATAGTGATCCTTCTGTTTTCAGCGTCCCAAGCGCTGGGCTTATGGGCCTGTGCCACCATGCCCAGTCTCAGATGCCATCTCAGCATGTGCCAGGGGCCGGGCTGGCACAGCAGGCAGGGATTGAACCCCTGGCCCCTGCGTCTGCCTGAGCAGGTGCTTTGATCTCCTGAGCTATCTGGCTGGTCCTTTTTTTCTTTTTTTTTTTTAAATAAGCCATATTACTTTTTAGAAGAGCAGGTGTGGACTTTGTAGCTGCTCAGAAAGGCAAGAGGCATGTGGGGCACTTGCAGAGTGCCCCTGCTCTGGGTACTTTATAGCCACGTGGATGGAGGGAGAGACTGATAGCTGCTGAGCGACTTTTTAAGGGGAGGTGGGATACAGAGGTCTTTTTCCAGGTTTACACTAGAGGGAGGGCGGAAACCTTAATTCTTAGGGCAGTGGCCACCTGCCTCCCTTGTTGGTCCAGATATTCTGGAGGCTCCTCCAGGCAGGAGCTGCACAGGCAGACGTGAGATGTGGCCACGGTTAGGGCCAGGCCCTGAGCCCCAGTGCCTGGCACTTGCTGATGTGAACTAGAAGACAGTCTCAACCCTCGTCAGCAGGGAAAGGCTCCTGTTGCTGCTTAAATTGCACTTTACAGATGTGGTGGTATGCTGGCTGGCACCGAGGGTAGCTGTGCCAGGGGTGTGCCTGTGCTGCAGCGCGGCGGCGGCTTCTTGCCCTGTGCGTGTTCTGTGTTGAGAGCTGGGCATAGGTGCTGTATGGGTAGGACAGAGGTCCTGAGGGCTTCGCTCTGGCTGCAGGTATCACCGCCCAGGCATCAGAATAGGCCACCGGAATAGGCGGTCTGGAAAGACTGCTGCTGCTGCGGTTATGGAGGTAGGAAGGAGGCGTGGCCAGAAGCACCGCCTGACTGTGAGCACTGCAGGAGGTTGTTGGGTTTTTTCTGGCAGTAGAGAATGTATTAGCTTTTTATCTTGAGACAAAATACCAGATGCCCTAAATTTGAAGGAGAGGGATTTGTTTATTCTCTTGGCATCTGTCTTTGGCTGGCTAGTTGTGAGGTGAAAACAGTGGTCAGAGGGTATGGTGGAGGAAAGCCGTGTGCTGCGGCATCTGAGGTGCACTAGGGCAGGGCCGGGGGCCAGGCCCCAGTGTCATGGCCACAGGACACTCCTTCACCTTGGCTCCAGGGTAGCATGCTCGAGTGTGAGCTCGCTGAGTGGCGGGCTTCTTGGTGGGTATCGAAGTGCCTCACAGTCCTGTCGACTCTAGGCTCTGATCCAGTCAGGTTGATACCTAGGAGTCCCTGGCAGGGAGGAGGTTTGGACTGTGGAGGAAGGGCCCACTCTGGATGGGCCCTCGCTTGTCTTGTTCTTCATTAGAAAATCCCCTGTGTTTTGAGAATTGAACCAAGGGTCTTGCATTGAGGCCCACAGCCCTTTAAATGTTTAGGTGTTTTTTTGTTTTATTTTGTTTCCTTTTTAGATAGGATGGGTCCTGCTAAGTTACTGAGGCTGGCCCAGAACTTGCACACCTTGGAGCTTGCAATCCTGCCTCAGCCTTCCAAGGTGCTTGGACTACAGGCATGTACCACCACACCTGGCATAGGGTTTGCCCTTTTAGCTGGCTAGAGAGACTTTGGTGTGCTCTGAGTCACTGAGAGCAGAGTATTTTTTATTTTTGTTTATTTTTTTTGGCGGAACTGAGGATTGAACTTAGGTCCTTGCGCTTGCCAGAGAAGCGCTTATTCTACTGAGCCATCTCCCCGGCCCTTCACTGAGAGGTTTAAATGAGAACATTCAGGAGAACAGCTTCCATATCCCAGCTTGCTTGCATGCCTTTCGCCAGCGTGTTTCCTCCAGGCTTGGGTAACTTTGCATTTCGACTGTTTTTCCATGTTGTGTGACAGTGCCCTGTGGGGGAGGGCTGGCAGGCAGGCTTTTGAAGGTGACTTGGCCTGGGCAGAGCACCTTCTGGAGGGGAGGGGTGTAGGGCGTGGTGTGCGGGACCAGGACCCTAGAGCTCAGAGCCTCCGGCTGAGCAGAGAGCCCTGCACCCAGAGCTGCGGCTGCAGCTTTTGGCAGCCTCAGGCCTGCCTTCATGGGACTTAGCTGTGCATCACATCACGGTGGCTTGGGGCGCTAAACTCCTCTCTTTCTTTTTACAGGAGCGGCAGAATCGAAACAAACAATAAGGACAAGCCAGGTTCTTACGTGGTTAGCAGCTGACTTTGAAAACAGTTTAACTGTATGCTCGGTGCTGCCTGTGGTGTCAGCTCCCGCGTGTCATCCTTGTGAGAGATTGAGTGTTGCATCTTTATCTTCTTTATAGTTCATTTAAGCTGATGGATCTGTGTTCATTTGTATTTTTTCTATGTATTATAATATTGTAGAACTCACTAATAAAGGAATATTTTTTTGTCAGCTTATCAGACTGACCTGATGCAAGATACAAATATCCTTAAAAACGAAACAAAAAACCTAATACATCCCAAAGTTTTGTTTTTTTTTTAATTTTGGCAGAAATTATGTTCTTATTCTTATATCCAGCCATTTAATATTTCTAAAGGAAACTACAAAAGTTTTACCCTTTTACTGCTTTTTTGCAAACAGAAAATAACCTATGAGCTGTTTGTCATTAAGAGTATGCTGTTAAAAATCTCAGTGCTGAAATCAGAAGGTTAGTGGTTGCCCTGTTGGGCTGGTTCACCATTTTTCTGTTCATGCTGTCTAAAATGCTAATCTGCCTTTTGGTTTTGCTGCTAGGCAGAAGGAGAAATTTTAGTTTTTCAGTTGTGACGATGGTCGCCACTGGAAGAGCCGCCCCTCACAGGGTGTTGCCCACCAGCAGCTATACCGTGCCCGCTGCCTGCCGTCTCGCTCCTACCAAGGACTTGGAAGGTGTTTGCGGTCCGGTTCTGTGTGTGCGTTCTGATTCTTTGCAGGTCGTTTTTAATTTGCCCTTTTCTTCACTTGATAATCCTAATGCCATCTTCAGTTTTTTGCTAATTATGCTGAGCTTTAAATGTAGGCTCTGGTAGTGCAGTGCAATGGATGATGTCGATTAAATTCCATGCGTGCGTCTGATTTTTCTTTTCTTGTTGAACGGTTTAAAAATCGAAAAAACAAAAAAATCCTTTTAGGAAATAATTTGCTGTCATGTGTTGTGGAATGAGGGGCCGTTGTGGAGCTGCCCTGCTACCTAGAGTGGAGTTGAGCATGACAGCGGGCCCGTGCCCGACACCCTTGCACACGAATCTGCACGCACCCACTGTAGAGGATCCTTGCTGTCTTAGAGCGCAGACGCCTTCCACAACTATTTACTCTAAAAGACCCTCTGAGTTAAAAGTTGAAGCTGTATTCTTTAGACTTGTATTTGAAACCGTGTCATTTCCTCTGAGCTGTTACTGCCTGTACAGAGTCCTGACCAGCGATGGATTGCTGTCCTCTAGGAGAATACAAGCCTTAATAAACACACCTGTTAGCAAGTCTGTGTGCTCTCGTCCTTCCTCCTGCCTGTGGGAGCCACGTCTTGTTTTGTGGTAGCCGTGAATCCAGTGGTGAGGCCGCTGTCCACACAGTGTGGTTTGCTCAGGTCTGAGATGCCCCTCGGGCAGGTGGAGAGCGAGGGACCGCCTGGGACTGACTGTACAGACCTGCGTGCCCCTGGCCCCACGGAGGGGCAGAGCAACTCTTAGAGCCCCAGTCACAATGCTCAGGCCCCCGACACGGGTGGCAGGCCATGCATGATCTCTGTGTGACTCTGGCCGCGTGACTTCTCCTCTGTCCTTTTGCTCACCCTCAGTCCATTCAGGTGCAGCCAGCAGTGCACGTCCTCTGGTCATTGTCCCGCATGTCTGTTGGATGTCTTTCCTCAGGGTATGTTCAAATTTACAAAGGCTTGCACTTAGGTATATATATCCTCTTTTTTTTTTTTTTTTTTCCTTTTTCTTTTGCGGAACTGGGTATTAAACTCAGGTGCTTGTGCTTGCCAAGCAAGCGCTTATTCTACTGAGCCATCTCCCCGTCCCCCATGTCCTTTTTTTTTGACACGTATGAGATAAAGATACAAAATGAGTATCATCTCAGGAGTCCACATCCTCTCTGCCAGAACTTAGTATTTCACCAGGAAAAGCACCAAACATAAGCTTAGGAAAGCTAGTCTCAGTTGGTCAGGTGGGACATTTATTTTCTCCACTGCAGCTCCAAATTTCTTCCTTACTTAAGGGAGTGTGTTTTAAACATTGAGTGGCTAAGTATCTGTGCCCTTTCCTACACGAGTGGCTTGCTGAGAGGCACTGACAGGTAGTGCCTGTGGTACTGGGTCTTCCGCCTTTTCTAGTAGCACAGCAGGGCTGGAGGTGGGTCGAGTCCTGGTCACCGGGGAGCTAGAGAAGGTACTGTGGCTGGCAGTGCTTGCTAGCTGGCACCTCTACTTCTGCCCTGAGGGCATTCGAACCCAGGAGTTCTCAGCTCCCTCCCCAGACCACCAAGAGAGGAGGAAGCGGGGCTTTCATCGCATTTCTGGTTCTTAGCCGCGTCTGGTGTCGAGAAGCCTGGCATGTACTGTGAGAGTCGGAGAAATCCCCAACAATTTAGAAGTGTGCCACACCCTATTACCATTTGTGTTTCCCTCTCCTGGGAAACACAGCCAGCCAATTAAGCCTTTATTGCTTTTTCTGACCCTGCCTGTAACCACGTTAGGATTTCATAATGGGTTCTGAGGCAGTGCCAATTGGTGTCCCAAGTGGGACATCTGACATTTCTTTGGAGGGTCTGAGGCCCTCACTGACTACCCTTGCAGCTTGCAGGTTCCTTCCTGCGCTGGGCAGTAGCTGGAGGAGCTGTGGTGGAGGAAATACGTGGTTTGGGCTCTCTTCCTCAGTCAGCTGGATTCGTCGTTCGGGTTCCCTGATGTCCAGGATCCAAGTAACTTCTCCAGCCGTAGGCCAGCTGTAGCCAGGTCTGTGAGTGGAATTGGTGCTGTCCTGTTACTCTGTGACATAAGGGGTCACCAGACTTGCCTTGTGCCTCTCGGGAGGCAGGCTGCTGTAGACATCATGCCGTGGCCATGGGGGATGGCCTGGACACTGGGCAGTCCCCGTAGACACCCACTGCGGTGTAGACAAGCGAGCAGTCGCATCCGCTTCATTGTTCGTCCCCTTGTGCGTGGTGCTGGTGGCATTCTGTAGCCTGGACTTGCCTTTAGGGTTTGCATGTCAGACTTTTGGGGAAGCTAATCAGCAGAAAGGCACTTGAAGAGCTGTCCTCCATGGCATCTCAAGCAGTTGTGTGGCTCGACATGGTGTGCGCTGTACAGTTCAGGCTCTGGGGATGCCAGGCCTGTCCTCTCCCGGAGTCCTCACAGGCCGTCTCCTGCAGAGGAGTACCCAGAAGGGTGCACAGCGAAGGCCATGGCCGAGAAGTGTGCTCTCACTGACCCTGGGTTTGTGTTCAGATGGTGTGGAAGTAACTCCCTGCCTGTCTGTGGGCACAGTTCTAGGGGCTCGAGTGGCACAGACAGCCTTCTTGCCTACACTGGACAGCTGGTGGGGGAAGGGCAAGACCTCCCCAGTTTATCAGGCTCCTCTGTGGAATGGACACCATGTCTAGGCTTCACCTCTGCCAAGTGTCTGTTGGAAAGGACAGCTCTGTGGCAAGCAGGGGACCAACTGATGGGCCTCCTGGCTTCCTGTGGTGGCCTGAGGCTGAGGTCATCTGAGGCCAAGTCCGCAGTGCAGCCCCTTTACCTTCAGGATGTTGAGGTGGCCTGGGGGGTGTGTGTGACCAGTACCCCCAAGTGTCCAGGCACTCGGCTACTCCAGAGTGGCCAATGGGGAGGGCTGCGGTGTATGGGTGGCACTTGGCGTGTTCTGAACAGATGTGCCTGTCACTCTTCATTCTTTCCAGCGTTAGGGAGGACAGGCCATCTGTGATAGGGCATAAAGAGGTACTGGGGTGCAGGAAGTCGGGAATGCAGGGGAGGTTGGAAGAGCAAGGGCATCATTTAGGTGATACTCAGTGAGTTGTGCAAGGAGGCCTGTGGCTGGAGAGGGAGTAGGATGTGTATCTGTAGGACCAGGGTAGAGGCCTCATATCTGCTCAGGGCTCAAACTGCCCGTGGGAAGTGTTTACTTTTTTCTGCCCCAGCCTTGTCCTGGAGAGATGCTGTTTCATTCCCCATCTCTGAGAGCAAGGGATGAGCAGCTCAGCCTTTGGGAGTTCTTGCACTTGACTGACAGACTGGCAGACATGCCACATGAGGTTGGTGTCCAGGGCGTAGGGCAGGGCGAAGGTGAGACCACTTGTCCGAGTGTCCTACATGCAGGTTGGTTCCTTTAGGGAGGCCTTGACTCTGGGGCAGGTGGGGAGCAGCTGAAGCAAGAGGTGGCCACTCTGAGTGCCTCCGTCTTGCACAGAAGGTGGTGGAAACAGCTCTTTCTACCAGGCAGCCAGGGTCCTTGCGTGGGTGATGTGGAGCGGGCTTCATCCTTGCTGCCGTTCAGGTTCTCCGCCCACTGCCTGGGCAAGCCACTGCCCTTTGAATTCAGGGTTGGATGGCAAGGTTGCTGCTCAGTTTGGAGGGCTAGACTGGAGAGGGCAGCAGGTCACTAGCAGTGCCAGGTTGGTGCAGCCTCTTCTGGCTGGTGCAGACCAGGGAGTGGCAGTGTTGGGGAGCGAAGCTTAGGTATGTGCATGCCCCAGGAATGCCAGGGCACTGATGTCTCCTTTGCTGCTGTCAGGAAGATCCCCAAAGACAGCAAGCTGAGGCCTCAAGGAATAGCGAGGGGAGGGGAGGATGGGGGGAGTCTGAAGAGAGCCTCTGGTTACGTCAGTGCAGGCAGAGGCTGCCAGGCAGGAGGGGCTCCAAGTGTCCTGCGAATCCAAGGGCTGGAGAGTGGGTGGTTTTTCTACGTTGGTGCTGCCGCCTGCGCATACCCAACACAAGCCTGGAGAGAAACCTGGAAGCAGGTCTTCTTAGCGCTCTGTCTGGTCTTCAGAGGGAGTTTTGTCACCCTGTCCAGGGATGGCCAGATGTGTGCACAAACATAACACAAATGCACATGTGAACATACACTTGTGCATATGGACATGTACACGTGATACATACAGAGACATACAAGATACATGCACACAGGTGTGTATACATGCGCAGTTGTGTCCAAGGCAATACATACACGTAAGCATGTGAGCATGTGTACTGATACACATCAGCACACGCGGTTGGACACATGGGCTCTAGTTGGACTGATGAGTTGTAAAGCTGTGATGATCCCAGATACATGGCCACCTTGGTGAGGATGTGCCTTTCCCGCTCTCTGGGTGCCAGTCAGTACCTCCTTGGTTCAATACTTTTTGGGCCCATGCACATAAGAAAGGTGAGATTTTGTTGGAAACAGGCATTTCTGTGGGCTCAAGTTTCATCCTTGGACTCTTGAGACACCTCCAGCCTTTGGCAGGTTGGGCTCTGAGCAACGATTGTACCCTGTCAGGTGTGGTCACCGTGTCTTCTATCCATCTGTCTATCTGTCTATGTATCTGTCTTTATGTATTAGTACAGGTTCTCACTACACAGATCGGACTCATAATGATCCTCCTGTTTTCAGCCTCCTGAGCGCTGGGATTACGGGTGCGCCCCACCATGCCGTCTCGTACC